TAGTGACATTAGAAGAAATCTAACCAGCATATCAAACCCATGATTTTCTAGATATTTAACTCAAACATTAGTAAATTTAGGGAAAACATTGGGTAAGTAATAATATCATTGGAATGTGGATATGGCAGAATGAGAATTATTGAAATTTTTAAAACACTAGTATAAGAGGTAGAGTAGCCTTGTCTTTTAATTCACCTCTTTTTTTAAGTAGTCCACAGGGAAGGAATTCATCTGAGAATGGGAATTTAAGATCAAGCAAATATTTGGGATTATTCATAAAAGTACTTAAAAGAAACATACTTTAGATTTATGGGTTTAACTCAATGCCAAATTAAAAAGTTCAAGAACATTGGGCAGGGTTTCTCTATTTCTTACTCCCAGTTTCCTCTGTACTCCTAACTTGTGTTCACACATTATTTCTTTGTTTTTGTTTATTTTTTAATAATCATAATTAAATTTGTACTAAGCAAAAACAAACATGACCATTTTGTTAACAATTATTTTCCATTTTACAATTTACATTTAAAATCTAAACTATGTTCTAAAGGAGGAAAAACAAAAAACTTAGTGTGTGTGTGTGTGTGTGTGTGCATGCATGTTGATGCATGTTGGTCAAATATGCTTACCTGATGTGTCTGTGTTTGTGTCTATGTGTGTGTATACATATATGTCCTTCAAATTCCTTGGAAATGTTGGAAAAATAATTATTAAAAATTTTTATTTTTCTTATTTTTTATGTATGACTTTATCATCTTTCTTCAGAACCAATATTTTTAAATTCTTTATTGTTATTTTACAATTTAACTTCTTTTTCTCAACAAGGAAAGAAATGAAATTGTTCAAAAAATGTAAAATATAAAAAAAACTAATATAACTAGATAATATGTTTTTTTTGGCACAAAGAGAAAATTTTATAATATCACATTAACACTGTTCTCGAAATAACTGTATTACTCTTTGGAATGTTGTAAAGTATCAGCAAAAATTTCCTCTTAAAATTGTTGTATTTTCCATTTCATAAAAGTAAAAAATAGTCTTCTCTAGTTTAAAAAACACATTTTTCTTGTTTTATGTTCCCTTACAAATAAATTTATTTCCAAATATTTTCTAGATCATTTTTTCTCTCTGAGACCACACATACCAAAGGTCATTTCTTTCTTCTTTTCTCCATCTTTATATTCCTTTCATTCATTTGTCTTTGTCTTTCTTTCAATGCATTCAATACAATTTAAAAATTTGGTAGAGGATATATACTAAAAAAGAGTTGGTGATTTTTTTTTAATGTTTGCATTTATGAAGGAAAGTATGCTATGTACTATATAAGATACTGATTTATAAGATCACACTCAATCCAAAAGTCCATTGTTAGTAAATCGACTGAGGATTCATAATTTTCTTAAATTAGGTATGAGATAAAAACTCTGCTTAAAGTCTAAGTACCTCTAGGACACTAGCACAATAACAAATTGAAACAACTTTTTAAAACCACATTTGAACTTTAAACAAATCTTTTATATAATATATGTATAATTGTTTTTATTTAGACACAGTATGATATTGAAAAACTTGCATAAAAATATCAATATATTTCAGTTTTTAAAAGCAAGTGTTATTGATATATTTTTATCGATGACTTCCAAATAATCACCTGATATGTCCTTTGCTTTGTAGATATCAGCTCAGCTTTAGGAAACATAAATTAAATAATTATCAGTAAGTAGTTTAAGACCATGAGTTGTACTATTGATTCAAATGAATTGGTACAACACAGATAATACATATTTAGTGACTGATTAAATTAAACTACTTTATGTAATACCTAAACTGGTCATTTATGTAACGATTTATTTGTATCACAATCTAGCACGTGATCTTAAAGTTTATCTATCACAAGATTTTTCAACCTTGGCTCCATGCATTTTAGTATACTTAGCAGTATTCCTAGCCTCTGGACACTAGAAGCCAAAAGTTATTCTCTAGTGTGAAAACCAAATATGTCTCTAAAAGTTCCCAAATGTCCCCTGGTTGGCAAAATCCCCCTGGTTTAGAAACATTCATTTTTCCAATTAGTCATATGATGCTTAAAATTCTTTATTCATGCAATTATACAAGATAATTTTTCTTCTGTATATAAAATAAAATTATGAGAGGCAAATTATATTGAAAAAAATGATGAAGAACAAAATCTTATCTAATTTACCATCTTCAGTACATCTTTTAATAGTTTGCATGCTTGCCATAGTTTTAAGAAAATTTGTTGAGATAGCTTTTTGATTCTAATTTCAAAACACATTAGTTGATATTTGTACTTTTGGATTGACTATGGTCTATATAAACATCTTGTAATCATTTAGACATTTAAATTAGTCATTAAAGTGATTATATGATAATCATAAAATTCTCTCAAATAATTTTTTCAAAATATCTTTCAAAATATTTACCAAAGTTCAATGACAACTTTAGTTTTATCTTTAAATATTTTTTCCTACTGTAAGTGCCAATGAATATACAATTAAACCCTCTCTCTGACATTAATGCACTCTGAAGAATTACTGAGATTATTATTTCATTGGCCACAATAGTTAAATAAATGTTACTTACCATTCAACCAATAAATTAAAACATGAAAATTGAGTTTTAGTATAAACCTCTTTTTCACATGTATAGATAATCTGAGCCCTTAAAAAGAGGCTAGGGAAGGAAATAAGATAGAAGCCTAAGCATGACTGATTTGGGTTAAGGGAACTTTCTCTTTTCTCTCCACAGAGTATTGAGTGATTCAAAGGACAGGCTTGAAAATAGAATCTGGCAGTAATGGCAGCATAAATATGGATAAAATTCTCTGTGCTCCCTTTTCTCATGAAAAACTTCTAGGCACTCTTCCTCATCTCCTCAGTGCCATGATCAAGTCAACTACACTCCTGAGAGAGATTGAGGGTAGAACTGAAAAGTGGGAAAGAGAAATTGTATTACACTCAATCTTTTATCCACCACTTGACCTTAGAAACCCCTCCATCTTTGGAGCATCGAGATATGCACCTTGGTGATTGCATTAATGACTATTCAATTTATTTGGACCCTCTTCTCTGATGAAATTGTGAAAAAGAACAATAAATCCTGCAAGCAATTTTCCCATCAAGCATGATTCATCAGAAAAAAAAAAAAAGGAACAAACCTTGGAAGAGTTATGGCAACAAGTAGCAGAATTGCCAAAGTGCGACAGTCCTGAAGAGCACCCCAATAAAGCAATGGAACAAATTATGTCTGGCAGCGGGGTGGGGTGTAACTGGCAGAGACAGAACCTCAGTCCCTGAGCAGGAGACGGTCCCCAGGAATGCAGCAGAACTATGGGCAAACATCACTAGGAATGATGAGAAAGGCCATCACTGAAGCAGAGATAGCAAAGGCTGGTTCCAACTCGGGGTTTCAGAGTTGAAACAAACTAAGGTTAAAAGCACCATTCAGCAGCTAAAACATGGCAAATGACAGAAAACCAAGGAGTTAGAAGGCCACTATTTGGACAATGACAATGCCTGGCTATATTAAACCCTATGATGCTCAGTTGAGGGAATAGGTTTTTCAAGCTTGAGGTACTACGGGCTGTGTGTATCCTGTTTCTTTACTGGAGAAATCTATGAAGTAGTGAGAAAAGGATAGAAAGGGAACCAAACCTGAACATTGATTTAAAACAGAACTTTGTGACTGCTAATACAACTTGAAAAGATAAAAGTTTTGATGTGATGTCTCGATGAGATTCCAAGTGAAGAACTTTACTCTTTGTAATCCTTAAGTTCTGTATAATAAATTTTCTGACTACCACGATTCCATGATAAAACCATTTCATATTTTTTTCATACATGGTTAGAAATATGCAAACCCATTTATAGTAAATTTAGGTTCAGTAGGCTCCAAAGGAAAGAAAAACCTAACACTAAACTATCCTGTAGACGAACATATTTAGAGCTTTGAATAATGTACCTCTGAATATAATTCATACATAAGTTCAAGCCATGTGAAAAATTAGAGATAGCTAAGCAATTGGAAGCAGAAGAGAGAGGACCTGGGAACACAACATTTTCTCATCTCAATGTGGCCGATTGCCTAGCATTTCCATGTGCAGCAGATGGCAAAAAGGCAGTGAGGGTGGGAGTGGCTGGCACTTAGACTGCCAGGCTCTGTCTGGGCTCTCGATAAATATTAATTAAATGAATGAATCCATTGAAGAGTGCTGTCCATGCTGCCAGTTGTGACAACCAGTCTTTGTTTTATGACAGGGAAAATTTGATATACTTTACAAAGACTGATTGGGCTACACAGATAACTCAGTAGAGATGAAACTCAAAGGCACACATTTTTTTTTTATATCCTACTTTATAAACATATTGTTAAAATCATATCCTAGTGATATTTAATTACAAATCATCTAGAAATAAAGTTATTAATGCTTTTACAAAATCAATCTGTGTGTGATTCAGACTAGGAAAGCATCATTTTTTTTTCTTTGCTTGGCCTGGGGCTATAGTGAACAATTGGGAAAAATAAGCCATACAGAAGTCATTCACAAAGGGGGTTTATATTTCTGGGGTTCACAATCCATGTAATTTAGGAGTTGTGAAAGTGTTGACTGGGTTCCTGAATTGAAAACAGTTCAGAGGGATCTGTGTGCCTCCCTTTAGGAAAGAGAAGGCTATAGAGCTGCTGGCGAGATAAAATGAAGGTAATCTGGAGATTAACGACCCCCCTGAGGGATCAGAGTTGAGGAACCATAAAGAAATCTAGATGTTCAAAGAATCCCTAAATGAGGTGTGTTAATTCTACTTTGTATGAAGGGATTTCCCAAGTTAAAATGTCATAGGAATACATCCTCTTTGTTACAGCAAGTTTCCCAGAATGTCTGCCGGCCTTGCCAGCTTGTGGGTTCGGATAAGGATTCATTAATATTAATGCCCAAATTCCACAGGCTCTCTCTTAATGGCAAGATATCACTCTCCCTCCAGTGTGCAATGTCTGAAAATGCTGGCTGGTTATTTCTACGAGTTCTCACGTGCTGTCGCAGAAGTTCTCAGTTTTATTCCAGCTTTCTTGTTAAAGGATACTGCCAGGCAATGTCTTAAGGGGAAGCACCTGGTCACTGGTGAGTTCCCAGGATTTTTTAAAGGATATTTTAAGCTCCAGAGTTACCATATGGGAACAATGTCTCTTTATCTCCTTTTGTGTCCTGTCATTTGTGCACCAAAGCAGCACAGTTAGTGCCTTGAGCAACTATTTAATACAACTCCCTGTAGTTTCGGCATGTCACATCTAGTCCTGGGCACAGGTAAGGAAGATTTAAGCTATCCCTACTTATCCTTCTGGAATAAACTTTGCTTCTCCAGGGAAGCATTTTCTGACTTCTAGAATGTGTTAGGACTCCTAACTTTATGAAGTTTCCTGTACTTCTGTCATGGTAGTTAGTGATTTCACTTTCATTACTTGTTCGTCTTCCTCCTCTAAATTCTTTACTTGTAAGGGCAGAAATGTTATATGTTCATAATAGAATAGTCTTCCTTAGCAGGGGTACCATTACACCAGCCTAGTAGGCACCACTGACACTGGATACTCTGAAGTTGGGGAGCAAAGGCCCCAATTCTCAATATTAATAAAACATGGCAGATGCTTAATACATAATTTTTTCTTTTTTTAAGTTTATTGGAGTGACATTGGTAAATAACATTACATAAGTTTCAATTGTACAATTATATAATACATCATCTATATATTAAATTGTGTGCTCACCATCCAAAGTCTAGTTGCCTCTGTCACCATACATTAGACCCTCTTTACCCTCTTCATCCTCCCCTACTCCTCTTCCCCTCTGGTAACCACACTTCTGTGTCTGTGTCTATAAGTTTGTTTGTTTATTTTGGTTAGTTATTGCTTTCTGTTTTATATCCCACATATGAGTGAAATCTTAGGGTTCTTATCCTTATCTACCTGACATTTTGCTTAGCATAATACTCTCAAGATTGATTCATGTTGTCACAAAAGGCAATATTTCATCCTTTCTTATGGCTGAGTAGTATTCCACTATATATATGTACCATATCTTCTTTATCCAGTTATCCATCAAAGGACACAGGTTGTTTCCATGTCTTAGCTATTGTGTATAATGCTGCAATGAACATAGGGGCACATATATCTTTATGAATAGTTGTTTTCAAACTTTTCGGGTAGATACCCAGAAGAGGGATTGCTGGGTTTTATGGTAGCTCTATTCTTAATTTTTTGAGGAAACATTATACTGCTTTCCAAAGTAGCAGTACCAATTTACATTGCCACCAGTGGTGTATGAGGGTTCTTTTTTTCTCTACATCTGCTTCAACAGTTGTTAATTCTTGTCTTATTGAGAATAGTCATTCTAACAAGTGGTATCTCATTGTGATTTTGATTTGCATTTCTCTTATAGATAGTGAAGTTGAGCATCTTTTCGTATGTCTGTTTTCAAATATCTATATGTCTTCCTGGAAAAAAGTATCTGTTCAGATCTTTTCCTCATTTTTAAATAGGATTGTTTGTTTTTGTTGTTGTTTTATGTAAGTTCTTTATGTATTTTGGATATTAGCCCCTTATCGGAGATATTGTTTGCAAATATCTTTTCCCAATAGTAATTTTGAATGAGTAAATCCTATTATGCATTTCTACATCTCTCATATGACTTTACTTAAAATCCATGTATAAAACGCACTTCCAAGAATACCAGATAGTGCAAATACTCATGAGTGGTGCAGCCTACTATTTGGGCAAACACTCAAATTCTGAATCCCAAACTATACTGAAATAAAACACCTGAAATGTGTTATATAAAGAAATCAAAGTCCTACATATGTAAAATTGCATGAAATATAACTAATGTAAAATCATATGATGTATTATAACATAATACAATATAATATAATCTTATGCTGAGAAAATTGATGATGAGGCAAGTTCTATATAGAAGAGACTGAGATTTCTATCACCCAATTCAAATGTCCATACAGGATGAAAATGTGGCAAAGATGTAAACAGCAGTGAATATATAGGAGTTGGGGCTAAGGAAGCAATAAGGAGACACACATATGTATGTATTCATTCAGTTATTTTACAAATATTCATTGATCACCAATTCTATAGCAAGTGCTGTTTCAGGCTTGGGAAATATAGTGATAAGTAAAATGAGGGAAATAATAAATGAGTTAACAAATAAATGACAAATAATGTTAATACATAAATAATATGTGTTATGAAGAAAATTCAGTAGAACCACAGGATAGAGCATGATATAAGTATGTCATTATTTAATACAATTTGGTCAGGGACTGATATCTTTCAACAAAGATATGGAAAATAGCATTTTAGGAAAGGAAATAACATGCTGAAACAAATCAGGTAATACCAATGGATAAAATATCTTTGAGTTTATTTGGTGAATCCAAAAAAATGAATGAGAAAAGTATACAAATGAGATTTATGGCAAGGCCTAATTCATTGATACTCATTCATATTATGAATATTTGCACTTTACAGATGGTAGAAATCAGACGCTTCATGCACTCTGCTAAGCACTTTACATTTAACCATCTCAAAAATTCTATGAGGTAAGTAGTAATATTACTTCTACTTTACATATTAGGATATGAAGGCCAAATATTAGGAAACATTCCCAATGTCACAAAATCAACAAATGTCAGTGCTGAAATTTCAATCCAGAAATCCTAGCTACAGAATATATGATAATAATTAGATACATATATATATATATATATGATCTTGAATGCATTTTCAACTTTAATGTCATATTTAAATAATCACTCTTTTCCTGCTTACAGTCAATAATTTGATTTTCCTTATTGAAAAACATTTATATGATTACTTTGTATCTTTTATCTTATTGTATGCTATTTTATTGAAATATTTGTGTCAGAATAGCTATAAAATAGCATAATTGATGTGATGATTTCTATTATTGTTAGTTGTTGGCATCATTTGACATCACTAAATAATAAAGTTAGCTATGGTAGTCAATGTCAATGACCAAGACACCTAAATAAATGGGTCACCTGCACTTTGGGTGAATAAACAATAGCCTATGAATTTATATCAGCTATCACTTTAGTGTTCACCAGATCTGCTTGTAATGCTCTCTGGATGAGAAGAAATGATAAAAATATCAATTTAAGCTTTTGTTTGTCCACTTATGTTATGCTGGATACTAAATATAATTTAAGGAAATATTTTTAAAGAACTAATTAATGTAGTATTTAAAAAATCCTAAGATAATATTAAAAATAGAATCAGCATATGGTACAGCTACATAAGATAGTTCATAATGTATTATAATATATTTCTGTCAATGGTTCTGGATACTTCTTGGAAATCTTCCCTTGGGCAATGTTAACAATGAAATATCAACTTTTTTTTTTTTTAATGAATGTATCCGTGGAGATGAACAAATAGATAAACCCAACTTAATTCACGGATATTTACATTAATTTTATTTACTAAAAATATGTCTGCTATTATTACTATACACTCATTACTTCATAGCTCAGTGAATTGAAAGCTGGCCCCAAACTGCTATTTTCTCCTAAACCTTTTTAAAAAAGTCTTCTCTCAATTTTGTTTATTTAAACATCCCCACCTATCCATCTGCTGCTGGCATATTTTCTATTATATACAAATTACCCTGTCCAAGTACTTTGCCTCCTGTTAGACAAAACTATGGTAGTAGGAATAATGGATTTAACAGATATGCTTTGTAATAGCTGGAAAAACACTGACTTGAGGATATCATAACTGGGAGAGAATTTTAATGCTGAAAGCCACTCCGAATGTTCCAGTGGGCAATGCCAAACAGAAACACGGTAGATGACAGATGGTAAATATATTCTCACCAACTGACAATTGCGATTCCTGTGCCCAAACAGTTCTTATGTCATGCAGTTCCCAGGTCAAATAGACTTCATTCTATAGCTATGCTCAACAAATACATGTAATTATTTTCAATAAGCACATATTTTGAGCTATAAGAGGTACTTGATACGTATCATAAAGATAGAAATAATTGTTACAAATTTAGAACACAGAAAAATCTATTTGATCATGCATACTATGCTATATTATTCTGGAATGTTTTTAAGTATTATAGAGTACTCAGTTAACACCTTTAGTCTTTTGAAAAAAAATATGTTCCCACAATAGAAACTGACAGAAAATCATTCAAAAATGTTTTGCCAAGTTATATGTTTTTATGGGTATTGGAATTAGGGAAATGACTAAAACTGTATGAGGTTATTTTTATACCAGGCTTTTGCTGTGTGCAATTTATGTTTTAGAAAAACAATTTACTTGGTCCACAGTTTCTCCAGATTGGTATGCACAGATTAATTGAAATGAAAGCCACTGTTTTATTTTGATATTGCTACATTACATAGATAGAATTCTTTATTTTAACAGTAAAATGAATCAGCTATTCACGTAGAAAAATTAGTTGGTCTTCAAATATGTTACTTTAGAAATACTTACAATGTTGGCTAGTTCGACAAAAAGATCTTTCTGGATTTCAATTTTGCTACTACATGGAAGTCACATTTCAGAATCTGTAACAACCCCTATAAATAGGGGATAATATATAGAGGAAGATGACACACCCTATACCCAGGGTTGAGATTTTCATATTGAAAAGCATCCGCTCCCCTAGACTGGCAGAATTCCCTGTGACCTTTTTTTTTCATTCACTCTGAGAACAGAACTGAAAATTTTGCCAAATATTATCTTGCTGGGACTTGGAAGGTAACAGTTTTCAGTTGCTAAATTACATTAATGTCTAGGTATGCCAGCTTCAAAAATGAGACTGAATACCAAGCCAGATGACCTCGAACAACTCCAGGAATGAGCAGTCACCTGTGCATTTATAACCTGTATATGACATGCTCCTATGTAGTGTCAAATTATATAATGCAGATCAGAATATAGATGTGAATTCCTTAATTCGTTTATCCCATGTCATCATATTAATCCAATAATTGCCAAAATTCCATATAATTTCCCTTCTACCTCATTCACACCATAGTATCAAGAAAGATTCATTGACCTTTAATTTTCTTTTTTTCATCGGGATTGAATTGACTCTATAGATGAATATGAGGAAAATTTACATCTTCATATTGGTTCTTCTAATCCATGAACGAGATATATCTTTCCATTTATTTATAACTTATTTAACTTTTCTCAGCAGTATTTTATAATTTTTAGTATACAGGTCTTTTATATCATTTGTTAGGTTTATTTCTAGATATTTATATCTTCGATACTGTTGTAAATGGCTTTTTTTTTTTTCACTCATTCCCCTAGCCCTCTCCTCTTTGATAATCATCAGCTTGTTCTCTGTAACTATGGGTCTGTTTCTGTTTTGTTTTGTTTGTTCATTTGTTTGTTTGTTTGTTTGTTTGTTTAGATTTTGATGCTTAATTTTCTTACTGTTGTTTTTGGAGAATAATATGTCACCCTGAATCTTAGTGGCTTAAAACTATAGCTATTGAATCAGCTCACAATTTGTCAGGCTGCAATATGGGCTGAACTTAGGGGATGGCTTTTCTACAGGTCTCAGCTAATCCCAATCATGCATCAGGACTCACCTGGGGACTGATTGGGGCTGGCTGGTCTGGAATGACCTTACTCATAGCCCTGGTGGGTAGCTGGCAGGAGGCTAGTGCAACACGAGTGAATGGGTCTCTCTTCATCTAGCAGGTCAGTTTGAGCTCATTTACACAGTGATTGCAGAGTTCCATGAGCAGCAAGAAAAGGACAAGCCCCAATGTATAAATACTTTCTAGTTCTCTGCTTGTCTCATGTTTGCTATTACTCCATTGGCCAAAACAAGTCACTTGGCAAAGCCCAGTCAGAGTGGGTGGACACTCAGTATTAGAAGGAAAGGCCACATGGATACAGAAAAGTGAATAATTTGTGGCTATTTTTGCAATCTACCATACTTATTGAACATGGTCAGTTTAACATGAAGAACTGAGCACTGAATGGGTTCATAGCTTTAGCTATGTTTACTAGAAAACAAGGCCAAAACCTGCCACAGTGCTCAGTTTTCAATAGATCAAAAATTTGGATACATGCTTTAATTACCAATTTGACATCGACTAACATTTATTGAGCTTTGACTGTGTGAAATATATAAGCATTTTATCTGTTATTTCATTTGAATTAAAAAACATTCAATAAGGCAGCTAACTGTATTTTTTTATTTTTATGAGTATAGACTTGAAGTTAGACTACCTCTGTAGTCTACATCACAGGGTTCTTGTGTGTTAGTATATACAGAGGCCCTATGTGCCTAACATATAATGAGTGCTATATAGGTTATTATTATTATTATAAATTATGTATATTATATAAATCTCCATTTCAGTAATCATACAGCCTAGAGAAATTAATTAACTCACCAAAATAATAGTCCATATTCGAGCTGAAGACAGTTTGATTCAAAATTCCGTGGTTCATCTACTGAACTCTATTTTGTTCTATGGCAAAACAAATATGGGTACTGTTTTCTACACATAAGTATTTTATTTTTACCTATAAATAATTATCCATTCTATTAAAGACTTTAATATAACAATCCAAACCATGGCTTTATTTTTCTTATTAACATGACAAATATTTTGGCCTGAGTAATTTTGAATAATTGCCTTTGTTCTAACATAGGAATTCATAATGAACAATTCCCAAGTTATATTTTGTTTAATTAAATTGCTATCTCAAAAAAAAAAAAAAAAAGGCTTTACTTTCTTTCTATTAGTTATAGCTATACATATGTACTTTGTCATGTTTCAGTATTAAGGAGTGGTTAGCCTATTGGAAAATATGCTGAAAGGAACATAGTGGCTAAAAATATTTGGGTTTGAATTCCAAATCTTCCAATTCTATGAGGCCTAGTCAAGTTATTGTCTTCTCTAATTCTTAGTTACATGAAGATAAAATATGACCTATACCACAGAGAATTAAATGAGATAAAGAACTTTTAAAAACTAGAACCATGGTAGTATATAGTGAAACTTTAATAAATATTGTGATTTTTAAGAGTTGTAATACTAATTGTTTTATTAATCTGAACTCTTTTTTTAAGTCAAATAAAATATACATTTTAGTATTAGATTATTTTATCATTTGGATTCAGAGTTATAACATAATAGCTCTGATAAAAAGTGTTATGAAAATACTTTTTAGGGAAGAGAGGCATAGCTTAAACTTATTTATTAAATAAAAAAAGGCAACTTTCTGAGAAAGCATTAGTAACGGAGAGTAATTTCACAGTGCCTGTATATCATAAGCATCAACTTACTGGTGCAGATTTACTATATGAGATACTTAATAGTTTGGAATTGGATGCTGTATATCATAATGATTAGAAACATAACAGTTAGTGGACTCTAGAAACAGACCACCTATGTTCAAGCACCATCTCTATCATTTTCCCTGACTGTGTTATGTTGGGCAAAGACCTAATCTGAGTCTTAGTTTCCTAGTATATAAAACAGAATACCCAACATGTAGATTTGTTATAAGAATTAAATGAGATCACTTACAT